CAATGAAGCTCTAGAGATTATGACACACCCACTGTTGGCCTGTTTTTGGGAACAGATAGGGAAATCTATACAGCCACTGGAATAAGGAAAGCAGTCAATCACAACTGCTCAACCTGAATCAGCTTTCCAGCATGCTGTTTATCTGGCAGGTCAAAACGCCAATAACCCCTAGAGCCCACAATGGGATCCTAGCCATTTAGTTGCAAAGAGGCCACCAAGCCATAGGAACGCATTGAACGAAGTTCAATGCGTTTCTATGGCTTTTTTTATTCCGTTTAGCGATGTTTCGCTATAGCGAAGGTTAATCCGGAACGGATTAACCTCGCTATGCGAGGCACCACTGTAGTTGCAAAGAGGCCATTGCAAAGCCTTAGGAAGGGGGGCAGAGGCCCCAATCTTTACGCTTCACTTCCAAGCATCTTATCACAAAGACTTTGAGGAGGCAGAGCAATTTGGAGAGGCAACGGACGGCTGTATACATGGAATTAATAAACCTGGGCCAAAATCCAGAGAACACATGGCTTATTTGCAAGAACAAGTTTTTGTGTCCAGCTTTTCCCTGCAGAAGCTGCTCCTCAGAAATTCAAGAGCAATTCAGGGACTGAGTGCAACAACTTTTAAAAGACAACAAGACAGACCAACTGGCATCATTTCCTCTGCTTTATGGTCACTATGCCAGGTAGCCAAACCTATTCTTGGAACTGAAAGCTGAGGAGCCCCTTTCAAGAATGAAGTTTGGAGAAAAATCTGGGCATGCACAGGGCCTTTCAGAACAAAGCCAATAACTTTCAGTCACATGATGCCAGGATGGCTGGAATCCATCAACAGCCCAGGGCTCTTTTCTGCATTTTTCAAACAGGAGTGAGCCACACAAAGAAAAGCAGTTCCCATACAGCTGGAGTCATCTTTAGAGAGGTCACAAGGTCATCCAGAATGGAAAATCTGCCCACTGATGATCATTCTAAATGATGACCACAGCAGCCAATGGACCAGTCACTGCATACCACACAGTCTTCCCCAAGCAGGTTGCTTCCAGAAGTCTTGGGAGACAAGCCCCAGTTACCTTTCAGGACATGGGAGTTGTGGTCCAATGTATATGGAAGCTCCCAGGGTGGGGAAAGATAGGATAGCACTTTCCATCTCCTATTATGGTGCCAAACCTAGCCCTGACAACCAGGGAATCCTGGGAGCCAGTCCTTGGAAGAGCAGCTTGCTAACATGCTTCACGTCTCTAAGTCAGACAGAGATGCATTTTTACACGGGTTGCAGATTGTTTAAATCTGGTTTTTTTGAAGACACAAGATTGTGATGGCATAACCGTCATTACAAAGAGAATTCCAGAAATATTACTGTGGGGGGGGGGGACCCACTACTTGATGGCCCAACAGAGTGTCAAAAAGCAAAGATTATCTTCTGAAGAAACCTAGTATGTCATATGTAGCTATATTTAAGAACACTCAACCAGGCAAGATTGGCTTATATTAAAATAGCATTTTCTAGGTGGTGGGAGGGGAGAAGAGTTCTGAAAATGGAGCCAATAAATAAAAAAGGCTCTGAAATTATAGAAATCTTCCAGAAAAAGAGAAAAGTGGAGGTGGGGAGAGCTCTCCCTCTCTAACATTCATCCATTTCCCATAAATCCTACCCCATTTCCTCTGTTCTAACTGCCCAAGAGTGCCATTAAGAGTGCCCCACATGCTCTTGTTACTTTGAAAAATGAACAGGTATGAACAGTACTGGGATTCACGGCATAATTGATTACATAGATTTGGCCAATTTTTAAAAAAATCAAATAACCCCATGGAAATTCTGCATATTATACATGCTTGACATCATCCCTGGTTCATGAAGACTTTTGTTTAGACACAGATGAATGTTTATGAGGCTCTGGCAACAAGAGGCAGTTTCTGGAACTACTCCAAGGCTGGGCTTTAGAAGGCAAGGGCATTGCTCCATGTTGGATTTGCAAAGCTTAGGAGGCTGGGCTCCCAACTGGTCTGCCCTGCATCTCGGTCTGGGCAAGAGAGTTCTGCTGATGATAAAATGTTTGGAAAAGACTGGCAACCACAATAAATCTACACTGTACTTGTTGCTAAACCCTAACCCAAACACCCTATTTTCTAAGATGTGGATTCAGTTACCTCAGAAATGAAGCCTTCAGAAGCTCTCTATTAATTCTCCATCAATTAGGGTTAAATATAGCATCTATCTGCTTAAGGGATACAGACACTGAATTGACCCAAAAAGCCCTTCTCAGCTGTGCCAGAAAATACACTACCCACTGCAGGAACATAGCTAGGAAGTCAACTGCAGGGAAGCTGGCCCACCACTCCCCCCCCTGCCCGCCCGTCTCTCCCTCGACTTTTTCCCCACAGCCATACTGCTCTTTCCAGCTCCCTCAACATGGAGTAGGAGTGGGAGTTGAATCTGCTTCAGTGACAAGCAGCAAAGGCTTCTCCTCCTGTCCTTCCCCCATATCACAGAGCTGCTGCCCCTTCCTCCAACATCAATTCCTAAACAAAGACGGGAAAACGGAGGAGCCTCTAGAACCAGAGATGTCGAGGAAGCCAGTCCTAAGGCGCCAGCTTCTCTCCTCCCCACAGGACAGGTGCCTTCTAAAGGCAGCAGTACTGCCCGGCCCCGGGGCCCAGTTGGGAGAGGGTCTCAGAGCTGTCCCCTCACCCATTTCTTTCACACTGCAGCACTGAGCCGCTGGATTTCCCCGAGACACGCACACAGGCAGACGTGGAGCTGCAGCTCAGCCTGTCTGACCTACTTTCTCTTTGTCTCTTGCTTCATCCGTATTACTTACAGCTTACACCTTCCTGCACCGAGCACAGCCTCCTTCCCCACCCCTCCAAGAGACGACTGCTGCCACAAAAGGGAACTCGGACAGCTTCCTTTCCTTTGCTAAGGCCACCACGGCATTATATTTAGGTTCCATGTGGCTCTCCAAGAAGCCCCATACTCCCCCTCCATCTCCAGAACGCTTAGCTTAGCCAGAGGGACCTCAGACAATGGTGGAACACACCCAAGCTTTCAGGCCAAACCAAGGGCTATGATCTCATCTGACTCCCACCCCTTTGAGCAGCTGGCCGCTCTTGCGTCACACCCCAGAGACCCCAAGTGACCTCTAATAATCATCAACTCCTCTGTAGTGATGGTGGGGAGGGGGACAGGGAGGGGCTCCTGCTGCCTTCTTGGAAGTTATTCTGATATCCAGACTGAGGGCCAGCCAGACACAGGGTGGGGGTGGGGGCTGAACTTTTATTTTGCTGTACAAGGAGAACCTCTTGTTTGGTCTGGTCTAGCTTCATAATAAAGCTGATGCCATCGAGGTGGGGGTGGGGGGAAGCATCCAAGCTGTGCAACATGAGAGGCTTAGACAAAAAGGTACGTTGGCATACACAAAGAAACAACAACAACAACAACAAAAATATATGACAGGAAAGTATCAAGAAGAAAAACAGATGCACTTATTTCCCTTGCAAGTGAAACTGTGGCCCAGGTTTTAGCTGACATTTAGATGACACAGAATAAAACGGCCACAGGGCTGATGGGTCCTGTCAGCAAGCAGTGGGTCATTTTGTCTGGATCAGGGGTTCACAAATCAAGGGGTATTGTAAGTAAAGTTTCTGCTCACAAACTCTGTGGGCAAAACTCCCACAAATGACTACTCTGGTCTTTAAATAATATAAATAAACATTGCCCAGATTGATCCTTCCATTTTCTATTTCATTTCTTCATTTTTTTGGTAAGGGGGAACTCCCCAAGTCCCTTGGTTCAAAAACAACTGCTTATGGAGTCTGGTAGGAAATTTTTACCCCATTCAGTTTTTAAAACATTTTGGGAAGGGGCGTCTAGGTGTCTTTGGAGAACCACATGTTGCCACTCCTGTTCTAGATTTTATTCCTGACTTTGCAAAAGGGTCTTATCTGAAGCCT